GACACAGTGTACTATTAGTGCTCTATGTCAGTGGTACAAGACTGTTACCAAGGTAGGAGAAGACAAGAGAACATAAACTGTGCTTACCTACAATAGAAAGACATGTTTATATTTTGAAAGAATACATTTTGGGGTATTTACTGCTGAAAGGGGCTTGGTCCATGGTAATGTAATCTCAAGATGATGCTCTTTGATTGTTTCTTTTGTAAATTATATTCTTTTTAATGTAATTGAAGTTCTAAGTAGGATAAAATGCTTATTTCATATTTAAAATCTTAAAGCAAAAAATGTTTGGTAAGTTCTCGCAGAAATTTGAAATGGATCCTGTGCTGTTATTTACTTTGGTGTGCCAAGTTACTTTAACAATCAGAATAATTGGTCTTTTGCAGAAATGCACCCAAGTTTCTCCACAAAGGAAAGAAAACTTGACAAATAGTGACTTGCCTCAGAGTTTGCCTGTTGTCGTGATCTTCAAAGACTTTGAGGCATTCAACTCACAAGTTTTACAGGATTTTATCCTTATTTGCAGGTGGGATTTGTGTAGTAAAATGTGCAATAGCAGTATGTGAAGTGTGATAGAATAATATTACAGTGCTTGCAAGGTGTTTTCTTTCTTCAAACTCCTGCCATCAATTCAGCTCCAACTCCTTATTTTATGGATTTTTTTGTAAATTCTTTTTTTACACACTGTCTACATAGACATTGCAATGTCACAAGTAAATTGCTTCCATTACAATCAGCAAAGCAGTTTTCAATGTAAGCCTTACAAAGCGGTTTCAGTTGATGGATGACCCATTTTCATTTTTGAAAAGCTGCACAGATCCTTTCTTTTCTTTCGTTAGAAAGTTTGTAGGTTGAAATGTTGATTGTCAAGGCCATGGCAAATCTCTGAAGCATCATTTAAATAGAACCTAATACCTGAGATCACTCAATTTTAAGATAACTTTCTTTTGCATGCCTTGGAAGCAGTGGTATATCCTGTTTTGTTTTTGTTTTTTGCAGGAAATGCTAATAATGTTGCATGCCTGAAATTGAAAAGTGGATCTAATCATGGTCTGAAAATCCTTAATCTTTTTTTAATTTTTTTTAATCTTATTAACAGTCGATACACTCAGGAGCTTCCATTCATCTTTATTTTTGGCATTGCCACGTCTCCCAGTGCTATTCAGCACAGGCTTCCCCACTCGGTGTCATCATTGCTCTGCATTGAGGTCTTTCATTCTCTCTCATGTACTCAGCATTTAGCCTCTGTTTTTGACAAGGTAAATAACCATTGCGATTTGTAATGCAAGTTAATGTCAACAATTTTATTCTGTATGTTCTTCTGATGCCATTGTTTGTTTTTCATAGCTCATTCTGAAATCTCAGTTCCCATTCAAGCTCAGCAGTAGGGTGATACAGGTGCTGGTTAGCGTCTTCCTTTACCACGACTTCTCTGTTCAGAATTTTGTTAAGGGCCTACAGGTGAGCTGACAAGTTTTTGTTTTTTCAGATGGCCTTTCATCGTGGCATGTGTAATGTTTTTTTGTTGCTTTGGAATGTTATTGAGAAACAAACATTGGTGCTACTTATTTGGCTTTTTTGCTTTCTGCTATTGAAGCATACCTTTTTCATTATTATGGAGACTGAAAGAAGCCAAAACTTACATTTTGAAAGTTACGTCTTCAAAGAGTGAAAAATTTAAAGGGGTCTGAATACTTTCCGTACCCACTGTATGTGAGCATTATAAACGATTCCAAAGTCCCATCACTGCAGTAAATTTAAGGAACAAACAGACACATGGCAGTTGTATCACTTCATCTACATGAGATATTTGTGCTTGTACACAGATGATTGAAACTCAATTTTGAATTTAAAATACGGCTTTTATGTAATTAATTTTTTCCACTAATAATTACTACCAAGTTTTTAAAACTTCTGCAAGCATAAAGGATGATGCAGTCATGTAACCGCAATAATAATGTACTTTGTTACAAATTAATATATTGTTATGCTGTTTAAAAACTCATAATTAATGTGAAGGTGGATGTGATGTGAGAATGTTTAAAGGAGACCTATTATGCTCCTTTTTACAATATGCAATATAAGTCTCAGGTGTCCCCAGAATGTGTCCGTGAAGTTTCAGCTCAAAATACCCCACAGATCATTTATTATATCATTTTGAAAATGCCTATTTTGTGGAAGCAGAAACGCGCCGTTTTCGTGCATATCTCTTTAAATGCAAATAAGCTGCTGCTTCCCGCCACCTTTTCCAGAATAGGGCTGTGCCTTTACAGCTCGTAAGTCAGATATTCTGCCAAAAAACATCTGTTTGGTTTTGATTGTCATGTCTATCTCGCTGAAATCATGCGTTTTAACCCAAATTAGTTTAAACTTCTTATTTACGGTGCACACATTTGAAGCACGCACACAGAAAGCGGCTGGCACACGGCATGAGAGTACTAAACAAAGTTCTCTTTCATGTCTTATTGCACTTAAACTGTCAAATACACATGCTTATGTTAAAAACACAATTTACAAAAACAGTCGTTATGTCTGTGAAGTTAAACAGCTGGGAAAGAAATCGCATGTTTATTAGGTATGTGTGGCAGCAGCTTAATATACAGTAAATAAATCAATAAATCCACTGCTCTCTTGTCTGCTCTGAGGCTGGGACTCTAATGGCGCTTTTCCACTGCATGGTACGGCACGGATCGGTACTGTACGGTTCACTTTTGGGGGGTTTTCCACTGGGTACAGTACCTGGTACTTTTTTTAGTACACCTTGATTGAGGTTCCAAGCGCACCGTGCAGTTACCAAAACGTGACGTGTAAACTCTGCTGATCACGGATTGGCCGGAGAGAATCGTCCCTACCTGTGTCACTGAACTTGCGACACAAACACAACAGAAGCGCTAGTTTTAAATCGGCATAGCCAGCGAAGGATCGAACGCAACTGTTTTGAACAAGCGCACCTTTTTTAACAACCAAAAAGTGGCTGTTTCGTTGTCTGTTGAGGAAGTACAGACGTTCCTCTCGTTGATAGCAGAGGAGCGGATCCAGCGAGAGCTTGATGGGGCGACGCGGAATGAAAACGTTTTTCATGAAGAGGCGGCGCAACTATAACGACATGTGAATAATCCCGTCCACTCTAAAGCGATACTAAACTGCAGTGGAAACACAAACCGAGCCGAGCCGTGCCGTACTGAGCCATGCGAGTCGTACCACGCAGTGGAAAAGCGCCGGTGAATAATCCCGCACACTCTAAAGAGATACTAAACTGCAGTGGAAACACAAACCGAGCCGAGCCGTGCCGTGCCGTACTGAGCCATGCGAGTCGTACCACGCAGTGGAAAAGCGCCATAAACCGTGTTCTGTGCTCATCAGTGCAGCCAAAGACAGAACAGTTAGCATGCTTTATTTGAACTTTCGCCATGGCATTAGAACTGATACACCGTTGACCGTTGTTGCTTGCGAAACCAGAATGGTGGCACCATGGGTGAAAACTTGCAGATTAAGGGGCAGTAATATTATAATAAGATCCCCATTCTACGTCACGGGGAGAGCGAAATCTGAGTGGCTTATTTTTTTTACAAGCTTGCAGACAAAGGCTTACCAGAAAAAAATGTACTGGGTTCTTTTTTTCACGTTTTCTGGGTTGGTAGATGCATCGGGGACACAATTATAGCACTTAAACAGATTTTCATGATATGCCACCTGATGATATGCCATATGGATATTTTGCAAGCACTCTAATGCAGTGGTTCCCAACCCTGGTCCTGGAGGCACCCCAACACTGCACATTTTGCATGTCTCCTTTCTCTGACACACCAGTTTCAGGTCTTGGAGTCTCTACTAATGAGCTGATGACCTGAATCACCCATATCAGATGTACATTTTTGCCTGTTGATGCGTGTGCAAAGTTTTGTGAGTTTGCAAGCATGTTTAGGCCCTCAAAAATGCGATTCACTTTGGAGAAGAAAAAAAAGAAGAAACTTTTTTTAGAGCAATTGCAATAGGGTCCATGCACTGTTGGTGCTTGGGCACTAATAAATAATCTCAAAAGTGCATGCATGATGCACAAGAGCAAATCTCATTGGTTTTTGCACATAATGCCCGTACGTTTGAGATTCTGTTTACTAGGGCTGGGTAAAAAATATAGATTTTTCGATTTTAATCGATTCTCATTTTTATGAAACTATATTGATTCATAAATCCCAAGAATCGATTAGTCTAGACTGTCAGATAATGAACGCGCCTCCCATCCAATAAATTGCAATAAGTTTTAGGATTTGTTAATTTTGATATGAAACAAAGTTTTAGATTTCAAATTCTGTCCATTTTATTACACTATTCAAATATTAAATGCCGTTTTGGCACTGTTTAATGTGGAGTGACAGATCGCTGTAGCACCTCGGTTAGAAGCGGCAGCATGAACTGATCATCTCCTCCGCTTCAATACTCTAATGCAGTGGTTCCCAACCCTGGTCCTGGAGGCACCCCAACACTGCACATTTTGCATGTCTCCTTTCTCTGACACACCAGTTTCAGGTCTTGGAGTCTCTACTAATGAGCTGATGACCTGAATCAGGTGTGTTTGATTAAGGAGACATGCAAAACATGCAGTGTTGGGATGCCTCCAGGATCAGGGTTGGGAACCACTGCTCTAATGAAACTCCTCTTCTTACAGTTCTCCATGTTGGAGCACTTTAATAGCCAGCCTCTCAGCGTGCTTTGCTGCCAAAAACAAGAGGCCTTGCTTTCTGCCAAGACTTTGAGCAAACAAAACGTTGAACGAATCCGCCATCTACCCTCGTTCATGAGGTATACACATCAATGATCACTCCAGTAAAGGGATTCAGTAACAGTTCTGTAGCTACACACTTAAGTGAACGTATGTCTTTGTAGGTATGTGGAGACTCAGGAGCCCCAGGAACAGGTGCAGCTCCTTACCAATGATGAACATGTCAAGGTAACATTATTATTCCACAATAGTCCATGTAATTGACTAAAATATCACAAATCTAAAACTCTATTTTTGCTATTCCTCTTACAAATTCTGTCCAGTATCGGCTCAGACTAGCGTATGAATCATAGGCAGTTCTTTGTAATGTAGCTTTGGGTTAACTGGTAAACTTTAAGCAATGTTAATGGCTAAGCTACCTTAGCATGCAAATTTTTATGCATAGTAGTAACTAATTCTTGTGTGTTCATTCTCACATTAAAAGATTTCCTCTGCATCAGGTCAAGCCTGTCTTCTAGGTGGCAACCCTCTTAGACAGCGAGGTTATTATCCGATTATTAAATTGTAAGATCATTGTGAATAAAATTTCACTCACCAGCTAATGATTTCGACACGGTGTTTAAAGTCTGAATGCCTTGTTTAATGTAATGTCAATAGATGAGATCCAAGCAGTCAGTATAGATGAAAATAGATGTGACCAGGGGGGTATTCCAGAAAGCAGGTTATGTAAGCGGATAAACTATGCTTTCGGTTTCAAAAACGGAGGTAACTTTCAGAGTATGTAAGTAGCCATAGCAACTTACTCTCTGAACATAACCTGCGCCGGAGTAGGTTCTGTTTCAGAGTTAGCTTACTTCAGTGCTATCAGCGCATGCATGACCTACTGACCAGAGTCCAGTGGGCGTGACCGATTGCGCACAATATTAAACATTATTACAATATAGTTATGTAATATACTATATATATATATATTTATCCTGTTTTTTAAATTTTTTGCATGTCACACTTAAAAGATTCAAATCATCAAACCAATTTTAATATTGCACAAAGATAATGCAAGTAACAAAATGCAGTTTTTAAATGATTATTTATTTTATTAAGGGAAAAAAGCTGTCCAAACCTGCCTTGCCCTACGTGAAAAAGTAATTGCCCCCTAAATCTAATAACTGGTTGTGCCACGCTTTTCCAATTGTTTGAAATGAGCAGACCCAACCTGACGGAGGGTGTGAGAGGATGCAGTGGCAAGACTGGTCTTCAACGAGCCCAAAAGAGCCCATGTTACAACTCTCTTTATCTCCTTGCACTGGCTACCGGTTGCGGCTCGCATCAAGTTCAAGACATTGATGCTTGCATATAGAACAGCCACAGACTCAGCACCCGCCTACTTACACTCACTATTACGAATCTACATCCCCTCCAGAAGTCTGAGATCCGCTAGTGAGTGACGCCTCGTGGTACCATCACAGAGAGGCTCAAAATCCCTTTCCAGAACGTTCTCGTTCACCACTCCTGGCTGGTGGAATTATCTTCCCACCCCTATCCGGAATGCTGAATCCCTGACAATTTTCAAGCGACAACAGAAAACTCCTCTCTTTCGATGCTACTTGACTTTTTATTTTTTTTTTTTTTTAAATTCCTTCCCTTTCTAGCTTGTAATTATTTGAACAATGCCTGAAACTTGGTATTGCGAGCACTTCCTGTGTCTGTTTGCCTCTTTAATAAGAATCGCTTAATGTATTCCCCAATTGTAAGTCGCTTTGGATAAAAGCGTCTGCAAAATGACTAAATGTAATGAATGTGGGACTCTTAATGGGAAACCCTAAACAAACATGCACAGCACAGCACAAAAACTCACTGAAGCTTATAGAAACATAGTGCTTTAAAACCATTCAGGAACTCCTGTGGCCTTATGGAGTGATTAAAGTGTCCATTGGATGTGATTTTTAAAGTGTCCCCTTAAGAATTTCGCCAGAAGTAGTTGGTCATCTTGGTACGGCTGATGGTTGGCTTTTTTTGTACTGCTTAGTTATTTTCTACTAGATTATAGGACCATACTATAAATGAAGTACTCTGGTTTCAGCTTTGGAAAAATAACATTGGTGGATTTAAAATTAACAATGGCCATGATTCTGTGTGCAGAGTCTGCTTGAAAAAGAGTCCAGAAGAACAAAGAGAACGAATCCATTCGAAGTGCTTCGAAGTGAGGTGATGGAGTTTATTGACAGTCTTGTGAGGTGAGTAGACTACATTATGAGCAAGGTGTGCTTAAGTACTTGCTTCTCTCACAAAATACTTTATGCAGTATAAGATTTCTGGTTCTCTCTTCAGAGAATACTTGACTCCAGCAGAACTCCAGCCACTCAATGAAGTGTGCTACTACAGTTCCTCTGGGGTCCTGAGACAGCGACTCAATGCCACCCCACGAACATCCATTCAAGCTGCTCTCAGTCATCCTTTCTACTATTTGCAGGTAACTGACCACTCATTTTGACTAATCGGGGTATTCAGTTGAGGTATTCAAATCAAATTCAAAGAGACACGGTATATACAATTCTTCACTTTTTCATGAGCCAATATGTTGCATTGCAGAGCTTCCCAAACTCAAGCATAAAGCCCTCCCTCTCCAAAAAAAAATCAGTCAAAGCTGTTTTTGTGAATGGCTCCTTATGGATTTTAATTTTTAGCTGAACAGACATAAGTGTAAGGCTAAGGTAGATTCAACACTCATCAGATTTCTGTGTGTATTGTATAGACGCATGCAGCCAGAACTGCTTTTCAGGGATGAATTCGGTCTAAAGGGTTCCTCGCACTGACAATATTTCCAGGTACATAAGCTTCTGAGAATATTGGAGATGCAAAATTTGAGTTTCAGCAACCAGTCTGAATGCGGCATCTGATACAGTAAATGCTGCAGCAAGAGTGGGAAAGCCTACAAGGTACTAATAGCAACAATAACTTGCCAACCTCCAAAGATTTAATGTTGATAGAAGAGGCACATATTTATCGCATTTTCTAGAGGGACGTCTATCACCGTTGCACTTGCGTTCTTGCACAAGAGATGCATGTTTAGAAAGCCATGTAAAATTAATGTAAGTTCAACTTTTCAAAAACATGTCTCGAGACTTTATGGCGGTTTTTCCCATCCCACTGCATCTCAAGTAACGTATTTGAATGAAAAAATACTCATTCAGTGATTGGTTTTCAGTCCTTTGTATTAAACTATACATACATACATGATGCTATTTTGCTTCCAATTGTTTAAGCAAATTAATTAATTATGGTTTATAAACATTACTTTAAACATTATGCACTTTTTTCAAAGGTAGTCCTGTTATTTTAATGCTTTGAAGAAACATGCATTAGTAATATTTTGCTGATGCGCCCTCTTCTGGCCTCAGGAGAGAAGCCAAAAGCTTTTTCCCCCCCTAACTGAAAATTTTGTAAAAATGCCTTTTAAATTTGAATATTTAAGTACAAAATTCGAATTTAGTTTTTCAGCCATTTTGACAGCCCTAACCCTTACATGGTTTCAAAACTTTTTCTTTTTTGTGTTAGACAACAGAAGATATTTTGATGAATGTTTAAAACCAAATAATATTTGAGCTTACTGACATTTCTTCAAAATATTATTGTGAATGTAGCGTTAACAGTGATCATTTTAGCTTGTAATCTTGGTGCATGTCATCCCTTTTTTTTTTTTTTTTTTTGGTCAGTGCTGCTAAGTATCATGCAAAGGCTGTTAAACCATTTGTGATGTTTGTTCTCTTCTATAGTGCCTAAAATATAAAAGTCTTTGTAGAAATCAGTTGGGCCAGATATGTTTGTGGTCTCTGTGACGGTTTGCCAGCCTCAGTTGCCCCAATGGAAAGCATATTTACACGGTCTGAATTGCTCCCTGTTACCTATATAATGCACATTGTGTCATTCACCATATGGAAAATAGTAAATGCGTGAACAAGTGATCGTTTTCAGATGCAGCTTTAGCATCTTTTTGTAATGTAAGGGTCGAGACGCTTCAGATACTGGAGAGCATTTCATTGGGCAGAATATCTGATGAGAAACTGAAGTGCAGAATGCTGTCATCAAAGTTTCTGATCGGTATTGAAGGTTGAGAGACTAAATTTTGAACACTCATACCTTCTAAATGTGAATTGTGTCATTGTTGAGGGACACATTAGCTTATAGATAACCTTAAGGCCAACATACATACAGCTTTCAACCTTCAATTTTGATTTTGTGAGGACTTGAAAACACAGATTGAGTGATGCCTTTGGAAGTCTGACCAAATCAGTGTATTAAAGGGAAAGTGTACCCAAAAATAATAATTATCATTTACTCACCCTTGTTTATTTTCAAATTTGCATGACTGACTTTCTACTGTGGAACATGAAAGATCTTTTGAGAAAAATTCTCAGTGTTTTTCCTCCTCCATGCAATGAAAGTATTGTTTAGTGTCCAGCATTCCTCACATACTCTATAGTGGTCTCTTCGTTTTGTTACCGTTCTGTTTTTGCTGCAGAATGAAAGCCTGAAAACGGATACTGGCACAATCTCCAGTGCTGCACCAGACCTCTGCATTGTATTCAAGCTTCATCTTGAGTGTGGAAGACTCATAAATCTATATGACTGGCTTGAGGTATAAACATGCTAAATCAAAATCACATGTAGAGGTGGGTTATGTTTTTCTAACAGCGTGGATTGAACCTGTCATTGTGTTTGACATTTTCAGGCATATGTAACTGTGATGTCAGCTGCTGAGGACCAACATACTGATTCTGAGGAGTGTGGCAAATTTGACAGCCTTAAGCAGTATCCTTTTTTTTGACTTTTTGCTCATTCTGTTTTAGTAATGAAAAAGAGTTTCTTATTTAATTGTCGACTTAATTAAAAATACTGTTACTGCATTTTTTTAGAGGTAATGTTAAAGATAAAAGCTTGTGACTCATAAGTGTACAAATTGTTAATTGTACACAGTTACTTAACTATTTTTCTAATATGTATTGTTCTTAACATTGACAGTGCTCGTTTCATTCAGGCTGTTTCAGAGATGGAATTTCTTGGTTTTGTTAAATCAACAAAACAGAAGACTGACCATGTGGCAAGACTGACTTGGGGAGGTTGTTAAAGAAATGCAAAGCATTGTTTCCTGAGCATAAGAGACTGGTCTGACTCTGACATGCATGGAATAATTATGTATTTTGCACCACAACTGTATTTTGTACTGTTAGCTGTATTATACATGTTACTATTACCTTTTTTTTTTTTTTTTTTTTTTTTTTTTAACATTTGTTACCGTTTTGGTTATTTGGAATAAAATAATGTACTGTTTTAATGTCTCTGTCAAATATTTTAATTCACTAGATTTGGTAAGTTTTTATTTGCTCAAACCTTAGCTATACGAGTTAAACATGTAAATTAGTTTTAAAATATTATTTTTTTTTTTCATTTTTACAATATTTGAAAGTGACAGATAAGATAATATATTTTAATTCGCAATTCAAAGAAATGAATGCATAATGAAATAAAGGCATAATTATCCACACTGTTACCAGTTAGTAGTAGCAATGACACCTTAAGTTTTGTCAAACACCACAAAAATTTGGAAATGGAGGGAGACTAGGAATATTGATATGCTCCCAGACTATAAATGAGTGCTGATTTGAATTAAGATTATTTTATTCCTAAATACATTTTGCATTAGGATAGAAAAGTGAGCAATCTGATTATTACATGCTCAGAAAGGATATTTTCATGTAAAAAAGTGAAAATTCACATGCTCAAGCACTTAAACCATATAACCCCAAAAAGCTGTATGTTTTACGAATACATTTGGCTAAGGTGGCTAAAAATATCAGTACTCCCCTGTTAAAATGGCAGCTTTTTTAGATTTAAAAAAGTAATATGACTCATGTCATGAATATGAAGGTTTTTTTTAATGCATGTTTATGACAACTGTCATTGAGTGTCATTCGCTCAGTTATGTAATTTTTAATGCAAAGATGACATTGAGATGTCTTTGTTATGGGCTATGGGTGGTCAAATAATGTCATATTTGCATTAAAAATGACATAACTGAGCAAATTACGCTTAATGACAGTTGTCATAAACATGCATAAAACCTTCATATTCATGACATGAGTCATGTCAGTCTTATGCACACCCCTTCAAGTGTTACCAAAGTAAGTAAATTCATGTCAGGTTTTTTCCACGTGTAATGTAAAATTGAAATCGACAGTACATCAAATCTTAAGGGGGTTGAAAAAAAAAGAAAATCCTAAAATTACTTGGCTGCACACTTTTATAACAGGGCATAGTCCTCTGGTAATCATTTAAGTGAATAAAAAAATAAAGTTTCTGTAGGATTTTCTTGCCATCATAACGTCTTGTCAGGGCCTGCCAATAACTTACAAAGGATGTGCATGACTTAAAAAAAAATTAAATAAAAAAAAAAGACAAGGTAGAAGAAATTGCTCAGTCAGAGCCCAGATTATTAGAAAGTCTGGCTCCAAATCTCCATGATTTAATATGATCTCTGACTGATGATGGGATGATTTGAAGAGGACGGACTGTATGCTGGATCAACATCTTTGTTGTTAATGCTGGATCAACATCTTTGTTGTTAACCCTGGAACAACATTGCGATTAACCAATCAGGTTTGAAGAACCAGTTTATAGTTTTTGTGAAGTTTAGGTTTACAATCAGTGTTTGGTGCTTGTACGTCAGTGTCATTCATCTATCATTTCCTCTGATTTTAGGGATTACTCATGGTTAAGTTTAGGTTTAGGTGTAGGGATATGGTCAAGACTACATTTTTGGATTAAAATGTTTTTCCAAAGTCAACAAAATATGTAGCCAAATCAGGACGTGCCGGACTGTACACTAAGGTGACCAGATATTGGAAATGTACACCAGGGACATTTAGTTAAGTAGTCTAAATATAATTTAAACCTCACCTGATCTGTGAATGGAAAAAAAAGTTTCTATACTATTATAATGATTAATTGTTATGATGTGTGGGTCAAACGGCGTCGGACTACACATTTTCAAGGGCACCGAAACATCCCCGCCCCTTATGAACATGATTGGTTAGTTTGTTCATCGTCGGCACTGTATTGGAGGAAATAATCACGCGTCATGGTAACCGCCTCCGCTGTAGGAAGACGTCTGCACCGGTGAGGGAAACGTGTTTCCTGTTCGTGTCGTGTTTTAGCCGAAAACTGTTTTGTTGTTATTAAAGATAGCCGTTGTTTAAATATGTGGCTGAGTAAGAATTAAAATAATAAAAACTCTTTTCTAAGCGCATTAAATGTGTTAGAGTATTAATGTCGCGTTGTTTATTAGCATGTCGCAGTCTTCACTGCTTATAGAATGATGCTAACATACAGTCTTTATTATAAATCTCTCCACTAAGGGATGTGTGTCTTAACTTAAATACAATTAAATTGTTATTCTAGGTTTTATCTAAGTGCTCAGAGCTCAGGCGCTGTTGTTATATAGAAAATTACGTTGCTGAATTATATTCTATAGTTTACAATTAAATCACAAATATTTTCCTGAATTGGAAAAGTCCTGCACACGCTATACGTTTTACCTTTAACGCTTTAAATGTCAGTTCTGGTCTGAAACCGACAGTTCGTTTCAAAGTAACTGAACAAAGTTCAGACGGTTAACCACAAGGTGCTGCCCGAACATCACGAATCTCCTGTTGAGTCTCTACATCCAGAGATTTTGGGTGGTAGACATGTGAATGCCATGTGTTATTACAGGACTACTCTCTCTGCTCAAATGTTCTATAACTGAGGATATAGTTTTTCTTCCTTATGTGTTGAAAGTGTATCTTTGGAGGCAATCAGAAGTGTGATTACACTGAAAATCTGGGATATTTAAAGTAAACAGGAATATTTTAAACAGGCAAGTAATTGAAAGACGCTTATGTTTTTTCAGTTGTAATTTGAATTGAAGGGAGATGGCAGCTACACAGAAACTGGCCTGTTTTCGGTTACCTCCTCTGCCTACCATAAAGGAGATTATCAAGCTGTATAATCTGAGAGCAGAGAAACAGCTTTCTCAGAACTTCCTCCTAGACATGAGACTCACAGGTCAGTCCAACTGTTGTTCACTCCCTTTCGAAACGCGTTAACAAGACTTCATAGATTTCAATAAAGTAGCACACTGTTTGTGTGTGTGTTTGTGTAATGTGGGTGCGAAATGTAAACAGCAACTTTAAACGAAATTCTTATGGATTTCAGATAAGATTGTCCGGCAGGCGGGGAACCTGAAGGATGCGCATGTGTGTGAGGTGGGACCTGGACCCGGGGGCCTCACCAGGCCTATTCTGAAAGCTGGAGCAGCAGACTTACTAGTGGTGGAGAAGGACACGCGCTTTATTCCAGGATTACAGGTTTACAAATAAATCCATGTATTCTATAGAGCAGGGATCTTCAAATCTGGCCCACGAGATCCACTTTCCTGCAGAGTTCAGCTCTAACCCTAATCAAACACACCTGAGCATGCTAATCAATGTCTTCAGGATCATTAGAAAATCACAGGTAGCTGAGTTTGATCAGGGTTGGAGCTAAACTCTGCAGCGCATTGGACCTCCAGGGTAAGATTTGAGGAACCCTGCTATAGAGCGATGAATTGGCCATTTCAAATATTTGACTATTTTGAGATTATTGCCCGATAGCTGCTAGACTGGCAAGCAAAGGTGTTTATTCCACTTACTGTCATTTTCAAAATCTATACATCGGCCAATCAATGAATACTGCACTTTTTCTGTTTTCAAATTATTTTTAGTGAATTTTAAAGGAATGTTGTGTAAAATAAGTGGTAGTATTAAATTTGTGCTAACATTAACTTTCGTTACATATAGTGGTATCACTCTATCCACTGGTCACCCTGCTTGTTAAATATTGGTATCGGCAGTGGTTTTTAAACAAAAAAAGAATAAATGCTGTAGTGCTGGGCGGGTCATACCGAATACCGGTGTTTATTTTTGTTATGATATGAATTTTTAAAATCACATGCACCTTTTGGAATTGCGCTGCATGAGACAAAAAATGTATATAGCCAAACAACCGCATGGCCGCTCTTTGGTGTAGATGCATGTTGATTTTTTTTTTTTCAGACGATAGATTATAAATGATAGTGACTCCTGGTTAACATGTATTAAAAGGGGTCATGTTTTTTGACAATATTCACTCATCATGACAGTAAAATAAGTCAATATATTGCAGTATTACCTCTCTCAATCAGTAGAAAATAGTTAACGCCCGGTCATGCATGAAAAAAAAATACCGTCATGTACCGTGAAAACCAGTATAATTTTGAAAAAGACCGTGATATAAATTTTTGGTCATACCACCCAGCACTAAAATGCTGTATAAAAATGCTGAATACAATTTCACCTATATTAGACTCCCAGATACTTTATAATGACACCTGGTTGTGTGGATACAGCTGCTTTACACAAAAGCTAATGTTTTTAGTTGCTAGTGCCTGATATCCAACAAACACTATAGGTCAAAATATTTTATGTTTTTGAAAGAAGTCTCTTATGCTCACCAAGGCTGCATTCTTTTCAATTAAAGATGCAGTTAAAAACTGTAATATTGCAAAATATTACAATTTAAAAGAATTGTTTTTATTTTTATTTAAATATTTTAAAATGTAATTTTAAAAACTAGATTATCTGAAAATTAGCTATTTTAATTTCTAATTCGTGATAATATTTCAAAATATTGTGAGCCTTGGTGAGCATTTACCAAGAGACGTCCTTCAAAAACTAAAAAAAAAACTAAAAATAACCCATTAAAATCTAAATTCTAATCTACTATGCGAAATTATTTGTATGAGCATAAAAAGATTTAACAATTAATAAATAAATTGAAAAAATTGTACAGACATTTGACAAATGGAATGAGTACCTGAACAGAGCGGGGCTCAATATCAAAAGTAGCAGTCAGTGTGTGGTGTGACCACCAGCTGCTTTTAGTACTACAGTGCATCTCATCTTAATGGACTGAGAAAGATTTGCCAGTTCTTGCTGTGAGATGTTACTTCACTCTTCCACCAAGGCACTTGTAAGTTCTCGTATGCTATATTTTTGTCAGAATTAGCTTTAGCTTTATTTGCACACAATGAATTTGTTTTGGTTTTTAAGGAGCTCTTGGTGCAAACATACATGCATACAAACCCAATTGCAAAAATTTGCATTCTGTTTTTATTCACAATTTGTACAGTGTCCCAACTTTTTTGGAATCGGGTTTGTATATGA